AGCCCAATATCACAAATGTTACATTTGTCTCAGTGGACTTCACAGTTTGTACAGAATATCAGTATGACAATACGACACCCTCTGTCCTTAGACCCTCACATCGTACAAGGAAAAACTTCCAAAAAAGGAAAAACCCCACAGTTTAAAGGGGAACATGGAAGAAACCTCAGGGAGAGCAACAGAGGAGGGATCCCTCTCCCAGGACGGACAGATGTGCAATAGATGCCGTGTGTAAATCGAAGAGATGATACATTTTACAGCGTAGGTAGACCAANGTTGTGTCTATAATAAGAAGATGAATCCACGAGGATGTCAACAATCCTGTTGGAGCCATCAGGGAAGTAGTATGATGAGTCCGGCAGGACCACAGTGATAGGTTCAGCCATGACTCGAAGTCCAGGACTCAAATCCAGGACTCAGGATAGAGGATCCAGGACTCAGGATCCAGGACACATGGCTCAGGATCCAGGACACAGGACCGCAGCAACAGGATCAGCCACGACTCAGGATCCCGGAGTAGATACACACCAAAAAGAAATGTTGGGCAAGCTGGGTAATTCGGAACATGAGATAGGTACAGGAAGACGTAAGGTGTCCCCCGACAGTCTAAGCCTATAGCAGCAAAACTAACATGTCTCTCTTAGGATAGGTTGAGGGAAAGGGGTAAGGAACAGAGGTGGAGAGGCAAAACGTGTCTACGTACATGCACTCCCTTTGGATCAATATATTATCAGATATTATCATATATATATATATCTATCTATCTATCCGAAACATGTCTCTGAAGTGTTTGGCTCGAAATACCAACAGATCAAACATTGTAGCATCCCATAATCTCCTCTGTTTCAAAAGTGTTGACTCTCTGTCTGTTACTTTTAGATGAAAATAAGGAGCCACTCCCCACGCCCCTCTGAGATATTTGGTTAAAAAGAACACAATGGCGCTCTAGGAGGAGATTCAGGTGATAAAGTGGTTTCCTTGGTTGGTTATTGGCTAATGGTTACACAAGCCAAAAAAATCGTTATGACATAAAGTGTCCAAAATCTGATCAGCTCATTTTCAGACAGGTTTTTATATAAATGGATCAGGACACAAAGTGAGGGGGTCTTTGTTCCTGAAACTTTCAGAATCTCTTTACACAGAGGGGACACATGTTTATGTAGAAAAGACATGAACATGTGGATTTTGCATAATAGGTGAACTTTAAGATTAGTTAATACAAATCCTTTCCTTCCAAGTGGACTTTGCAGGGAACAATGCTTTAGATTGAGAACATGAAAAGGGTCCCACTTGTGAATTTTCATTTTTCTTTTTCTGCAGGTGCATCCGGCCGGGATGAAGATTCCAGACTTCCTTGCCGGTCGACTCAGTTTTCCGAAGCCAGTCCTGCTCAGACTGGTGAGCTCCGAGGCGTCCCGGCTGTCAAAAAGCAACAGACTGAAGGTGATCACTCGGCATGAGATCAGAGCTGCAGTCATAATTATTCAGAGGAGGATTCGTACAAGAGCTGCAGCATGAAGAGTTGTAAAATGTCATTTTAACTTTTAACATTAAATAAATATTTATTTTTATTCTGTTGCCTTTTCCCTTTTTTTTTAAAGTCATGCATGCATGCTTTAACAAGTCGTTCAGTACATTCAAATGAGGCCTACTCACGTTTATTCATGTAATTAATGACAACCTTTCATTTAAATCCAAGTTGTACAATTTTTTAAATGTCAAGATTTGCAGGGCACAAGGACACGTTTTGTTTTAATGCACATTACTAGTAGTCTTAATACTGAAATATTTATGTATCACAGCTTGAGTTTGATGGTGAACTATCATGTTGGTGTCTGCATTCAAAACGTACAACTGCAAAAACACTTTAATTTTTGTTTTTTTTAATAAGCAAAGGTAGAGATTCTAAAAATTAACTCTAAAGTTGTTCAATTGTTCTCACCAATCTGTCACACTCAAATTCCATCTCTGCTCTCAAAATAATTGTTGTAAATTTAGTGATTAAATGTTATAATGGGGGCATTTATTACAGTAACTTGCCCAGTGCCCACACATGCGGATAATGTTTAAGGCTTGAACGTGGTTATTTAATGTTTTAAAAAAACTAGATTAAAATGCTGTTCACACACATAACAAAAACACATTTTGGGTTAAATGGTTAAAAACGGTCTGAAGGTGGCGCCAGAGTAAAGATTATTAGAAAGTATCCTGAGGATCATGACAAACTTCATGGCTAGTAGTTTCCATCACATCTTGTCAGGAGTCCTCATGGAAACTGGTATCACCAATAATCACAATTTCAGTGGATGCACGAGTCGAGGCGCAGAACAGAGATGAGTCATGGTGAATATTACCTGGGGAATATTTGTGCTTTGAGGAACAGAAGAGATAAAGAGTGTTGGTGTTGTGTGTCTGAGAATCCACGGAATACACCTGCTGCTGCTCCGCCTCTCGTTGGGCTCTCTCCTTCTCTCAGCTCTGATCTCTGAAACACTTTCGCCGCTGGATCATCTTTAAACTCGAACCTGTGGCAGGACATGTAGAGAAACATTTTGTGTGCCGTTTTGACGCAAGTTTTTCTTTTTCTATCATGATTTCCGGCTCGCGCGGATACAAGCTGCAGGTAGGAACACAAACAATGCGATTCATATGCACCGGATGCATACTACATAAACACTTCCTTGGAATAAGATGTGGATTGAAATGATGCGCAGTTGGCAACATTTTCTTTTTGATTCTGTACGATATGAAACGGTTTGTTTGAGAGTATTGGGGCGTGATAAGAAGCCATTTACAAGACTAAGTGTATCCCCATGTTTCTTGTGTTTCTATATTAAAGCCTAATTCTAATGCACATTTGGTGACGTGGTAATGTGTTCCCAGGACGTGAAAGAGATCTGATTAAATTAAAGAGTCACTCGATTATTTTCTTTCTGTGTCAAACAACGCTGTGAAGTTAATTTTAGGTTGGATATTCCGATCCAAGTCACTTCCAGTGCTGCAGTACAATGGAGCATTGATTTGGAGTCACTATCAAACGGATATGAGACCTTTCAACAAAAACAGATCTACATTTTCATTAGGATATTCACATAAATAGGAGCTGGACAAAAATACAATAAAAAAAGAAATAAGCTGTCCAATGTAGTAAAACTATGCTACATTGGTTTTTAGTGATTGTGCAACATAACATGTAAGCTATTGAACAAGATCCAGACTTTTATCTGGATAATCCAATTAAAATGAGTGTGGTGTTCTTGCTAATATCTGGTATGGATTTGAATTCACCCTTCTGTCCAGAAATACAATGCTGCATTGATTTGGAGTCATGGACATGACATGGAAACGTTGGAAAAAAAGAATAAACTGAATGATCTATTTAAATACTTTATAGTCAAATCAATTAATCACATTTCGTTAATCAAAAAAGAAGTGCCACGTGACATAAGACCATACTTGCCAGCCTTGAAACCTCAGAAATCGGGAGCATTTCAAAATGCAAAATGGGGGGGGGGCGGGGTGCTAGTTTATCGGCGGAGCTGTTAGATTAACATTAACATGCTTATTGTATTTCTAAGTGCAGCATGTAGCACCATCCTTGATGGAGCATATGTGTGGGCAGGAAAGGAGTGAGCAGAGAGTAGAGTAGTTGTCGACTCTTGTTCTTTTTTCTGTGACTATCTGCCTCAGACTTTCAGTTGCGCGCGCTACTAAAGAGACGTGTTAGCATGGAAACCAAACAATGGTGTAGCTGTATTAAAGTCCGAGTGGAAACAGTCCTGAGTAAATCTGATTTTGTCAGAAATCGGGAGAAATATGACCCCGGGAGGAAATCGGGAGTCTCCCGCGAAAATCGGGAGGGTTGACAAGTATGCATAAGACACACTTATTTTAATTAGTTTAGTATCATTTTCACTCATATGGGCACGTTGGCATGGAGGTATTGCAAATATAGAGTTGGTTGTGTCATTCCAATAGTAATGTATTGATGGTCCCTCAGTGAAACCCTGAGTGAGGCTCAGATGTGAGCTAAACATGCTCTGACTGAAGTCTGAGGAAATGATGAACACGTTACTGTATCCGGAGTGAATGTCTGTCAAAACAATCCACTTCATTTTCATTTATTTTAGTTTTTAGTTGTTTATATTCGACCTAATACAAACGTTACTGTTTTACAGCTGAATCGTGCAGCTCAGTACTGTTGTTACTTTTCAGGTCTCTGGGCAGCAGTCTCTTACCACCAGCCATATATGACTCAGCTTTGGAAAAACTGACTGATGTGATCTTCGGGAACTCTTTGTTGGTCATCATGGGATGTGGCACCTCCGTTGCTACGGAGACTCAAGGGAAAATAGTTGAGCCAGGTAAAAAAAAAAGTGATGCTGACATGGTAGGAGTCCAGATGAGTGAAAATACTCCATATGTGCTTGATACTATTAGAGTTCAAGCTTAGAAAAACTTATTTTTGTTTAGATGGACATACTTTTACATATGAAATACCTTGATACAGTCCAATATTCAATATTTTAAATCAGTCTAGATTCCCAAATATACTTATCCTCTTCTCAGTCTACATTGAAAACTAGAGCTGAAACAAATATTCAATTCATTGATCGACAGAAAATGAATCTACAATCTTTTGATAATGTATCAATCATTTCAGTTATTTTCAAAAATTGAAATTGACCTTAAAACTCTTTTGCCTCTTCTCAAAAATGAGGATTACTTTTTTATGACATTGTAAACTGAATATATCCAGGGTTTCTGAAAAATTACATTTCAATATATCATCTTGGATTCTATGATACTATTCGATGATTTAAATAATCAGAGTTGCAGTACTTTTCTTGCTCCTTTTTTACCTTGTTGATGTCCTCTGTAAATCATGTGTGCTCTTTAAACTGTGTTGTTGTCATAGTATCTCAATCTGCATCTCCATGTCACACTGCGTAGTATGAATGTGATGGTAATTAATTTTTTGCTGTAGTACATTTTCCTCCGAGTTGTTGCCCCCACACGCCAAGTGTGTGACAGATGGTGCTTCTCTGTCTTCACAGGCTGTCTTCTCTCCTTAATGAGTGCTGTTTCTCCTGAAAGCTCTTTTAATTTGCTTTGCTTTTCCAGTCTCACTGTTGCTCATGACCTCCCCTGTGTCTTGTTATCTTGTGTGTGTGTGTGTGTGTGTGTGTGTGTGTGTGTGTGTGTGTGTGTGTGTGTTGTTTCATTACCTGTTACTTTTGCTGAATTGTAGTTTATTTTCTTCTCCTCACAGATGACACAGCTAAGACTCCCTGCCCTGCTCTGAGTAAGACCCTAATCATTTCTAAAGTCTGTGACATTATGTGGCATTTCATTGTAGGCCTTTTTATGTGAAGATTTACCAAATATGCTTTTTGATCAGAATGCATTCTCAAATTAAAAACAAAGATAAATACTCCTGTGACTTCCCATCAAATAGAAATTCTGAAATACTAAATAACAAGTAGGGATGTAACGATATATCGAATATCGCGATATCGCGGTAAATAAATGTCTCAATACCGTCGTGAGACTGACAAAATAATTAATTTTTTAAACCTTTATTCAACCCATTGAGATCATCGATCTCTTTTTCAAGGGAGACCTGTCCAACATGGCAGCAAGTAGGTTACAACATGAACATAAAACAACAGATAACACAAAAGGACATCGTATTTACAGGGCTACATGTACATACCTAGAGACATTGACAAGTACCAACAGTATATTTATATCTTGCCCTGTCAATAAGCCTCACCTTCTTGGCAAAAACTGTATTGTTTTTGAAGTGGTGGAGAGACAATGCAGAGTTTGACCCACTGCTGTCACCCATGGCCAAAGCATATCTCTCTGTCCCAGCAACATCAGTACCAAGCAAGAGAGTTTTTTCCACAGCAGGGGATATTGTAAACGCCCAAACATCCCAGCTTCTACCTGGAAATGTGGACATGCTCATAGTCCTAAAAGATAACCTTGATGATGCTGAGTGAGTGAGTGAGTGAGTGAGTGAGTTAGCTAGAGTTGAGTTACTTGAAAAACTGAAGTGAAACTTGATTTATTCTATTGCAGGGTTTGATTATTATATTGTTGACACTTTAAAATACTACTATCCTACTAAAAGGCTGTACAAATCAGATTTGTTATTTAATAAAGAAAAACCGTGAGTTTTTGGTATCGTTACATCCCTAGTCACAAGTAATGTTCATGTACTGTATAACTGTGACTCCAGATATTCAAACATGTCTCCCATCCAAATGAAATGTAACAGCTGGGATTTTGTCGTAGCTATGAAGGCAGCGGTTCTGATCCAGCGATGGTACCGGCGCTACATGGCCCGTCTGGAGATGAGGCGCAGGTACACCTGGAACATCTTCCAGTCCATTGAATATGCCGGGGAACAGGACCAGCTACAGGTGACTCTCAGAAGAGCAACTTTATCCTACTTACAAACTCAGAAGCACCAGAAAGCTAAAACATATTTTGTTTTTCCTCTATAGCTCTCAAGTTTCTTCAGTTTCATGCTCGACAACTTTACTCAGCTGAATGAAAATGGACCAGGTTAGGAGACAAAATATTATTTGTATCTATATAATGTTGAGTGTTGAAGGAGTTAGATAGTATTATGAGTATAAAAACACTTTTTTATTTTGAAATGTTGGAGGTAAAGTTCATTTTGAAGTAAAAGCATTTGATAACAGTGTTCATTTTATGAATGCAGTGCACTGCGCAGTACATGTAAAGCATTAACTGAGGAATGCCTGTGTCTCAGACATTCTGAGACTGAAATGTGAGGTTCTTTGAACCATTTCGCTTTTGTTAGTGCTTATTTTTATTCTGTTGTTTAGGTTTATTATATACTACTTTTTGGTAAACAGAAATAGAGACGGATCAACATTTTAAATGATCCACTCTTACCTCCATGTAATTAACACCAGCTTTGTTAGGCATGCTGTATTTTGGTCTGCAATAGAAACCCATTGCGTATACCCTGTTGCTTAGCAACTACTGTGAATGTGGAGGCAAATGTGTTGCACTGACACAGCTGTGGCTGAAGTATGTCCAACTAAAAAGCATAAGGCTCCATTAACTACCTAATATTTAGGTCAGTCCTTACTGCGTAGCATATACAACACATCCTCTCCATGGATATGCATCCAGTCAACATAAGGGATGCAAAGACTTGTTGTTTGTATTTAATATTAGCGATCTGTTTATGTTTGTGTGGCAAAAAAGTAATGGACATTTAATAGACCATAAAGGGGAAATAGACAAAAGACTTACAAAAGAGAAATAGGCCTGGAGGTAGATGACTGTTCTTGTTTGTTTGCATAAATTAGAGGTTACATTAGCATGTTGGAGTGGTCTTTTATTGCAACAGTGAAGCCACACAGAGCTGGATGTGGTGCTGTGTCAAGCTGTTTGTTACGAGGACCTATAAATTAAAATCTGTAAACTGGATTTTAATTCAGTGGGTAAACCTTTAATATATTTTTTCAAATTGCACTATAACACCCTATTTAATGTGACAAATAACTGCAATGATAATATTCATAATAATAATGAACCATGCAGATTCATGAAATTCATCATTGTTTGCTTATCTTTTTTATTTTACACTTTTTGAAATTATCGCTTGTCAAAACTATTGGGCATACATTAACCACAATATAACTCAGAATTAGTGGGCTAATGTAGCATTGCTCCACTAGCCTCAAGCATAGATAAGTATGGGCAGATCTGTTTAGCTCACTTCTTTCTTACAGTTGCCCAACCTTTTCTTACTCTAACATTGACTCAATTGACATCATATTTATCCGATTGCGTTCAGCTAAAGCCATAAAAGGTTTTATTGAACTTTTTTACATATACACTGCAGTTGTGCTTCCCAAAACTTAAATAGACTTTTACGTGTTCAATCATTGGATTTATTATTCAGAGTTTTAATCGACTTTCTGTCTTGACACAGAAACAGATAATAACATAAATATTGAAGTAATTAAAGGTATTTTGTGGCACTGAAACCACGTAGGGATCTCCATTTAGATTTTTGTGCTCCTCTAAATGTCTGTTTGAACGATGACTGTATTCTGCAATATCATTTAATTTCTCACTTTTAATCATCATAATTGTCTGTTTTTGCTAACAGTATCCATCTTTCAGTTTCCCATATGTATATCACAATACATATTCAAATTGTGGGATAACATAACATATACTGATTTTATTTCTAAGCCCTACTTTCAGTATTGAGCTTTTTCTACATAAGCTCAGTGTGGCCCCTTCTCCTCATGCTGTGTCCCTCAGACTTGATCTCTCAGCTGCTGGACCCGGTGGTGGACCCCTGGTTAGGCAGAGAGACGGGCTACAACCTGATCCCTGTTCCAGAGTCATACAGCGGACCCCGACTCTTGTTTCCTCTCTCCGTGTCTGATACCAACTCTCTCCTGGGTGCATTTAAAGAGCAGCAGGTACAGTAATATGTCTCTATCTTCCTCACACACACACTTGTTGCACATGGATGCTGTCAGGGGCTTTATCAGTTTTCTTCACACAGACACTACATGCCAGATATGTTCTGCAACTGCTGCACGAGACCAAGAAGCTCCTCAAACAGATGCCCAACATCACCCACTTGTCGACATCCTACACTAGTGAGATCACTATATGTGGTGGGTGACCATAACCACAGTTTCACTTGATAATTAAAGATTCTTAATTTTTAAGTCACATGTGCATCTGTTTAATTGCACAGTACAGTGGGCCATTGTATGCAACTAACCTTTTACGGATTAAATGATTGCTGATGTCTGCGAATGTGTTTTAAATACAGTTGACTGTATCTTAATGGCAGCGCTTCAAGAATGACGGTTTTGTTCATTTGCAGACTGATCAGGCACTTGACTCCTCTTCCCCGGCTACCTCCTCTTGCCGATTAGCATCTCATTAAACTCAAGAATACTTCAATAGAAAACACTCACTGTTTGGTGGTTTAGGGGTTTTCATACCATAGTAGAATTTTTAACCTGCAGTATAAATTAAGAGTTTGTTGAGCCAGAAATAGGATTTCAATTGTTCCATTTATGTGATGTTACCCATTTGGTACAGGAGACCTACATGGCCGGCTTGATGACTTACTCCTCATATTTTACAAGGTACTGTAAAGCTATATTTTTTCAGGGCAACAATTGTATCTTCTGACCATTCATTTCCTACAGAGAAGTTGTCTTCAATGCATATAATCAGATCTTATATAAAAGTAAAATATAATTAAATGTAAAAGTCAAGGCAACAACAAACGCATGCATACACGCAAGATCTGATTTGAAATCTGTTTATTTTTTTACGACATGTTGCTGTGTTTCAGAATGGCCTTCCCTCTGCGGAGACACCTTATGTGTTCAATGGGGACTTTGTGGACCGTGGGAAAAAGTCAGTCGAAGTGGTAATCCTTTTGTTAGCCTACCTGCTGCTCTACCCCGACTACATGCACCTGAACCGAGGAAACCATGAAGACCACATAATGAACCTAAGGTTGGTAGGAAGAAAAAAAGCATATATTCATGTAGGTTTACCACAAAATATAAGGGAAGGAAAACTAAAATACATTGTTGTTTCAGATATGGATTCACAAGAGAAGTCATGCAGAAATATAAGGTACAGTTGAGTCCTGAGAGATGCAATTATTCTGCTGTGACTAGTACTGTATTCAGTTGCATGCTCTGCAGGTTGTGGCATGTAACTGCTTTCATAGCAGCTGGATTAATAATCTGTCTGACTGTAGACTCATGGCAGGGAGATCCTCCAGCTGTTTCAGGACGTTTTCAGCCTCCTGCCCGTCGCCACTGTCATTGATGGAAAGATCCTGATTGTTCACGGAGGAATATCAGACCAGACAGACCTGGACTTCCTCAGCTCCATAGAGAGGCACAAGGTGAGAGGAAACAAGATCCCACCTTCTCCCTGTAGCTCTACTCTTTTAACTGCAATAATCAATGTTGACCACTAGAGGTCAGAAAAACAGTTTTTTATAATGTTGACAAATGCTTCAAACACATGAGTGTAGATGTTATGGCGAGCATTTTTGTTTCGTTTATATCCAGCTCAGATAAAGCAGCAGTTGCAGTACGTCAACCTTTAGTTACCTAAAAGAGGATAAAAGCTCTTTGAGGAGGAAATTCTGTGAAAATCATCTGGCTGTGTCATCTTGGCTACATTAGAGACAAGGCTACTGTACATTACAGTCATTTGATTCAAAGGTAATTTCAAAAATATGAATACATTTTTTTTTAAAGAAAAAGATCCAACTTAATAAAGAAGGGGTCTTAAAACGTTCAGTGTTGTACATCACTAGGTATGTTTATGATCAATCCTCCATGCTCCTGTTCTCATAAGGTCAGTGAAGGTAAAGTTATTCTCGAAATACAGCAAATTACTGCTTGAGAAGGACGAGTATGTGGTTGCAAATATGTTTACAATTATTTGTAACCCTTTTAACGTTTGTTTTTTATCTTTTTTAATTTACTCCTCATAAGAGTCCATGCTGTACTAAGGATGTGTATACACTCCTGTGTTAAGTCGGGTACATTATAGAGAACCGCAGTGACGCGTCATAAAACCTGGAAGTAAACTTCTTCCGGTTCCTTCGTCAAAAACCAATGCAATTTCTCCATAGGCTTTTGGAAAATAGCTCGAAATAAGGTCTGTGGTTGACACACATTTAAGAGAGGGATCACGTTTTGTTCAGCCGGATAATCTCCACATGTCAACCCTACTTTTATAATTTTTGAATCATAAATCTAGTCGCCAGAAGCAAAATGCTAACGTTATGCTATAGACGAACTACAAGCCAGTACAGCAGCAGGGTCGCACGACTTCAACGTCACGCCAATTTAAGATCGTTTCAACTGACTTGCACTGAAACTGCACTTTGAACACTTTAAATATATTAACATTTTAAACTGTATACCCCGGTTATCTAGGCCCTTTTTGTTTTGTTTAATGTATACCACATTTGTCTAGGCCCTTTTTGTTTTGTTTTATGTATACATGTCACACTGTGGGAAACGATGTTTCGATATTTCTGGATGTATAACACATGTAGAATTTTTGACAATAAAGCTGAATTTGACTTTCGCGTGCTTGAATATTTTAACAAAGCTTTTCATTTTAGCCACAGTGAATTTTTAACAAAGCTTTTCATTTTAGCCACACTGAATTTAACTAGAAGTCATGGCTGTGTCAATTACCAGTCTGATATCGTTTTACAAAGATGACAAGAAGAGTGTAGATAGAGGAGAGAACCACAACAAGTCAGGACACGTTACAGTGCAGCCTAGATGAAGGTGTGCTTACCGGTGTTGTCAGGGCTAGCATGAGGGACAAGGTTTATAGTGTCGGTGAGTAGTGATAGCAAGAGTACCGTTAACCTTTTAAGACCGAGTTAATTTATTCACATTAATTCCCATCAACAAATCAATTTTATGTGTCACATGAAATCTTTATTAGGCAAGGCAAGTTTATTTATATAGCACTTTTCAACACAAGGCAATTCAAAGTGCTTTACAAAAAATGAAAGACATTAAGAAAATGGCATTTAAAATCAGTCATTAAAAAGAAAAGCTAATAAAATAAACAATTAAAAGAAAAATACATGGATAAAAGTTACAGTGCAGTCTAAGATATTAATAGTTCAATTAAGAGCAGCGACAAAAAGAAAAGTCTTCAGCCTGGATTTAAAAGTAGTCAGAGTTGCAGCGGACCTGCAGGTTTCTGGGACTTTGTTCC